GTAACGCGGCGACAGCTCTATTTTCCTATCTTCCTCCTTTCTTTCCTCATCAAACAAACTCCATGGGAGACAACTGTATCTGTTGATTTATAGGAAGCAGGGGATGCTGAGATCGATTGACTGTGAAACCAAAAGACGAATCGATAGTTTTTTGTCTTTGAAAACTAGTAGACTTGTAGGTCTTTGCGGGTTTTATGGGGAGTGGAACATTTGTGGACGGGGTCCTTCGCTGGTTTCACCATCACAATCGTCGATCTTCTTCTGTTCCTAATCCTGATGGCCATGTGAATCTCGATTCTGAAACAAAATCATTACCCTCGTCGTCATCATCTTCGAATCAACTCACCATTACTGAAGACTTTGATTTTTCCGCACTTAAGGTTATTAGGGTTCCTAAACGCATCAATTTTCCACCTGTTTTCCCCTCACCTTCCGCCCCCATGGATCATAACAGAAAGGTTTCTTTCTTTTCATCTCTCACGCATTCCAGATCTTCTATTATGAATATCAGCAATGAGTTTTTCTGCAATTAATTCATGTCAATTTGCATCCTTAACGTCGCTTTTTTCATGACGTCATAGATTTTTAGTAATTTGTACTCTTGGTTTTAAAGAACAAATACACAAACTATACCATCAAACATCACGATAAATTGAATAAGTTGGTACCATTTGCTAATCTCCCAGATGATTGATTACATTTGTCGTTTTTCTTGTTGCTTTTGTTGATAAGTTGACCCCTCGACTGACAGTTTTGTGGGAGTAAGTATGAGGACCCCTTTATCCAGACTCGTCACAAGAACAATTATACTGTAATATAGTTGATTTGATTTGTCCAACCAACCCAATGTTGCATAAAAACAGGCTTTCAACTGAATACAAAGTTTTGCCCTTTTGGCTGCATTAACAAGATGCATCTCTAGTTTGTTTCTCTTTTGTTGATTAAAGGTGTGTTTGTTATTGTTAATCCAGATTGAAGCAGAGTTCTTCACAGAGTATGGAGAGGCAAGTAGGTACCAAGTTCAAGAAGTTATTGGGAAAGGAAGTTATGGTGTTGTGGGGTCCGCTGTGGATACTCACACAGGCGAAAAGGTTGCAATCAAGAAGATCAATGATGTTTTTGAGCATGTTTCGGATGCCACTAGGATTCTTAGAGAAATTAAACTCCTTCGGTTGCTGAAGCATCCTGATATTGTAGAAATCAAGCATATAATGCTCCCTCCTTCTAGAAGAGAGTTTAAGGATATTTATGTAGTTTTTGAATTGATGGAATCTGACCTTCACCAAGTTATCCGGGCAAATGATGATCTAACTCCTGAACATTATCAGTTCTTCTTGTACCAACTTCTTCGTGGGTTAAAATATATTCATGCAGGTTGGTTCTTTTTATCCTATATATACTTGTATGAATGGTGCAAATATATGTATGTATACTTTTGTGTTTGACTATTTGCCATTTATGCAGCAAATGTGTTTCATCGAGATTTAAAACCCAAAAACATTCTTGCTAATTCTGACTGTAAATTGAAGATTTGTGATTTTGGGCTTGCTCGTGTGTCATTTAATGATGCACCATCGGCCATATTCTGGACGGTATGTTAAAACCTATGTGTATGCTTTGTCTTCAGTCACTTTTCTCATTTGTATTTGTATATAATATAAATACATTTGGTTTGTTGTTCAAAAATCGAAATGTATGATTATGATTATGATTATGTATGTGTCATCAGTCATACTCATACGTTTGTATCTTCTTATTTCAATATTTAATTTAATTTAATTGTTGCAGGATTACGTTGCAACTCGATGGTATCGTGCTCCTGAACTCTGTGGATCCTTTTTCTCAAAAGTATGGCGCTTCCATTTATAGTCTAACTTTTTACCTTTTTAACAGCTTCTAAAGCTAAAATTACTTATTCACCCATTGTTGAAGCTGTTAAGAATTGTTGACATTGATTTCACCCCTAGGTTGTAAACCATTGAAACGAATTTACTAGTCGTTTCAAAAAACTGAATGTGGTTTTTCATTACGTTATATTATAATAAGGAAACAAGATTTATTCAATGTGTGTGTGGGATATCAAACTTCTATGTGAAAAAGTAAAAACTACCTGCCAACTGTTTTTGTCTTTTAATTTTTTTTTGGTTTTTCATCAAGTGATGTCTTGTTTGCAGTATACTCCTGGCATTGATATTTGGGGCATTGGATGCATATTTGCTGAGATTCTTACTGGAAGACCATTATTTCCTGGAAAAAATGTAGTTCATCAGTTGGATCTCATGACTGATTTGCTTGGCACTCCTTCCACTGAATCAATTGCAAGGGTTAGATGATTTTTTTTATCATTCAAAATGATGCTTCAAATGAGTTATATCTAATCTTTAAAAAAAAGTGCAGATTCGCAATGAAAAGGCAAGAAGGTATCTTAGTAATATGCGCAAGAAACCGCCTGTTCCATTTACACACAAGTTTCCTAATGTGGATCCTTTGGCCCTTCGCCTATTGGAACGCCTGCTTTCTTTTGATCCAAAGGATCGCCCATCAGCTGAAGATGTACGTGTATGATTCTATAAAGATGACAATTGACAAGAATTCGGATTGATTTTGGCATTGGATCCTTTTTGCAGGCACTGGCGGATCCCTACTTTCAAGGGTTGGCGAATGTGGAGAGAGAACCTTCAACTCATGCCATATCAAAGATGGAGTTTGAGTTTGAGAGGAGGAAATTGGGAAAAGATGATGTTAGAGAGCTCATCTATCGAGAGGTTTGGTTTGGTTTGGTTGCAACTTTTTTTTTTTTTTTTTGATACGTCATTTTGAAGTTAAATTTTTATATCATCAACTGATTCCTCTTATTATGCACATGCGACATGCTTTCTAGGACTGTTTTCCTTTCACACAAAATAGAGATTGAGAGCAAATCTTAGTGTCACCTTTTCAAGCGAGACAAAAAAATTTGCAATTTTTGTCGTTCCTATTATCTTTTGTAACAAATTAGTAATGATAATATTTGGTTGATAAATTAAAGCCAGATTAGAAAAAGGATAGATTTGCAATCTTCATATGAAAAAAACTTGGTTAGTGACTTAATGTTAAGGTTGTCTTATTTGTAATTGTATCAGATTTTAGAGTATCATCCTCAGATGCTTCAGGAATATTTACGTGGTGGAGAACAAACTAGCTTCATGTACCCAAGGTCATATGCTTTCTGGGCCCACTTGACAAGTTGTATTGTATTTGACTTTGACGCGTCGACAAGACAATAGTTGTCCCCCCATTTGATAACAGTTGAAAAGACGTGAATGCCCTCGATTTCTAGGTCTTTTTCAATGAAGAGGATGAAATTGGATTGATGTCTTTTGCTCGAGAGCCAGCCCATTGTTTTATGTGGGAGAAAAAAAAACTACAATGACATACATACATGGTTCTGAGTCCCAAGTCCCAGTCCAATGCTTTAAATTTAATCCATCTGAAAAGATTATTTTTATGCATAAATAACATTTTCCATTTCAAATTCTCACCCATGTTTGTAATTTACAAATACAATAGTGGTGTTGATCGGTTTAAACGACAATTTGCACATCTAGAGGAGCATTATGGTAAAAAAGGTGAGAAAAGCTCGACTCCTCCACTGCAAAGACAGCATGCCTCACTCCCTAGGTAAGTTTCTACTCTACATGATCAGCAAATTTAATACGCAATTAAGTTTTATACAGTAACAGTATGTATGTATGTATGTATGTATGTATGTATGTATGTATTACTTATATGTATTAGGCACATTGTGTGTGGTAGTGGTACTGTTAGGTAGTGTATTGGAAATTTAATATTATATATGTTTATTTTTATCATCAGGGAAAGGGTTCCTGCACCCAAGGCAGAAACAGAAACAGAAATAGAAACATCTGATGATACTGAAAAGCGGAATGCAGCTTCTGTTGCTACAAAACTTGACAGCCCTACAGGAGGATCAGACAATGCAGCAGATGAGCAAAAGGGAAACATGAGCGCTCGCAGCTTAATGAAGAGTGCCAGTATCAGTGCCTCCAAATGCATAGGTGTCCAGGCAACAAAAGATCCCCAGGTAAGTTTCAACCATTCACTTCTAAATATCATTCTACTTTTATATTATTTTTAACCATGATGATTCAATTTTTTACATAACATTTTACTTCCTTGAACAACACACCAACTTACTATTATTTATTTTTACTTTATTTTTCACGTTAGGACATCAAATTATATTTTGTTGCTATTTTCTGTACTTTGTATGAACTATTAAAATGGTGGTGCAGGAAGAAGGTACAACTGAACACCAAGAGGAGATTGATGGGTTAACACAAAAGCTTGCTGTTTTAAAAGCATGAGGATGTTTTAGAAAAAGCTTCTCTATTTTTAGTCTTCGTATTTTGAGATTAGCTTCATACACGGGTACAACTTTGAGGGTGTTGATATTCTGTTAATTAATACAATGTTTAAGTTACCAAGTATAAAACTACAAAGATTCATGACTTCAGATGTTTTTGTCCTCCAACTATTCTTAAGGTTATTGTAATTTTATTTATTTATTTATTTATTTTTATTTTTAAATTTAATTGGCTATTGAATTTCTAGTGCTTCTCCACTAGTCTAGTATTAGTTAGGTGTCCTTTAATATACATATTTGTAGGGCTGTAAACGAACTGAACGTTCAACGAACTGTTCGTGAAGCGTTTGGCGGGAAGTTCGTTTAATAAATGAACGAATATGAACACACATTCTTGTTCGTTTAGTTAAACGAACGAACATGAATAATGAACTCGTTCGTTCAATTATGTTCGTGAACGTTTGTTTATGTTGTTCGTTAAAGTTTGTTTATGTTGGTTCATATAAGTTTCTTTTATATTAATTTATGTTTAATTGTGTTTGATTACATTACTATATTCTATGTTCATTTATGTTAATATATGTTTGTTTATTTTTGTTAGTTGATGTTTGTTTGTTAATGTTCGTTTAGCATGTTCACGAACATACACGAACGAACATGAACAAAAAAACTCGTTTGTTTAACCGTTCATGTTCGTTCATTTGTTCGGTTAACTTAAACGATCGATCATGAACAAACCTCGTTTGTGTTTGTTTGATTCGTTTACAGCCATACATATTATCTTTTTCCTAATTTTGATATTTACTGCCAAAGCCAATTCACCTTCCTCCTCGGTGTATTGAGTTGTGTCCTGCATTAAGAATTTTATGCCATTAGCTTTTTGTTCCATAAACATATTTTATGCCATTAGCTTTTTGTTCCATAAACATTTTCTTTGTAGAGAAATATAATAATTTGTCTAATCTTGCATTTAGGCCCATCTTCATCACTTCCAACTAATATGAATTTTTGGATTTACCTTTGCCTTTATGTTTCTCTTCCTATTAGGCGGGAAGGTATGTAGTGACAAATTCAAAAAATGATAATGGTTACAAGGTGGATTTGGGAGGAAACCATGGATTGCATGCTACCTTTAATGTAGGAGATCTTTCACCTTATGTTGATGATGATGGCCTTGTGGAATTAAGGTTAATTCCTTTCAAAGGGGGATGAGATGATATATGTTTGGACCTAGATAGCCCAATTTAAAATGGATTATTTGCCAAGGAGGTGGGGTTTACTAATTTGGGCTTTGGAGTGTGCTTGATTTTGTGGGTTTGGGCTTGAAATGGGTTGGGCCGATTTGTTTTGGCTAAATGGAAGTTGTGACCACGTTTTTTTGGACTTGTTGGTGATCATGGAAGAAATTTGAACCATTTCCTAATCTTGTGTGTAGCATGGACGAAGATTGAAGAGTTTTTGGGAGTTTCTAGTAGTTAATATACTAGTTAAATAAAAGCTCTTAGTGATGAGCCTTTTCACTTTTGTAACTCATGGTTCATATAAACTATATACAGGGACAATTTTCCATGAATAAAAGAAGACTTTGAAGTTTGTTGCACTTTGCTCTCACCACCTTTTCAAGTGAGTGCATGGTCCCTTTCATCTTACACATAGATATGAAGTATTTTATATAAACTACGTGCCATGTGTGCATATTATCTGTATACTTGCTATCTATACTGGATGAAGAATTTTATACAAGTTTTATATAATTTAAACTATATATGTATTTATATCTACATAATATGTTGGGTAAAACATCGGTAGATGAAATATGAGTTGAATGATAAGTTGAGAGGTGATATAGACCATGAGGTAAGGGTGAGAGGTGGATGATGTGAGAAGCCTTGTTCCCAAATGCTGGCTCCGTTATCTAGCAGAGTATGGATGACAACCACAGACTATTCTAGACAGTCCAGTGGAACACTAGTAGGCTCGCAACCTGTAGGTGTTGTGAACGATGTGTTCACCGGTGTACTCTAAAAACCCATTGACATGTATTGAGAGTGGACTCTCGAAAACGATACTATCAATAAATGAGATAACCCTAGCAGCTATGCTCGAAGGACAATACTGGAAGCTGCGCCTCATATAGAATGTCACAATTCTAGCAGCTGTGCCTAAGTGATAGAACTAGCAGTTGTGCTTAACAACTGTGTCATTGACAATGATGAACTTCGTACCTATTCCTTAGGATAATCCTTAGGTATGAATAAATGAGAAATAACTGATTCTTAGGGAAGATCCTTAAGAGTAAAGATGATAATGAGGATGGGTAATTGGGTTAACTATTTGATGATTAAACATAATAATTATATTATTATGGGTTGAAAACCCTATGTACTCACTAGGTTTTCCAACCTAACCCACTCAATTTATTTATATCACAGGTGTTAATATGAAGTCATATTACAATGAGAGATTAAGAAGATATAAATCAGTAGTGATGATGTATGTAAGTTCTGTTTATGCTTATGTTTCTGTATTGACGATGACATCTCAAATGTTTTAAAATGAATAAAAATACTTTTCTTCGGAAATGCTTTGATAACGTATTTATTGTGTTTTATTGGGAAAAAATTCCGCAACATTTTTATTAAAAGAGGTACTCTGATTTTTATAAAACATAAACAAAATCGGTCTTTTTTGGTCGTGAAAATACAAATGTCACAGTTGGTATCAGAGCATTAGTTTAAGCGGACTAGGAATAAGGATTTATTTCTAGACTTCAACTTAGAATGCTAAGCAATGATCGTGATGATTGTGTCCAATATATTTTAGGTAGTACACCCGAATATACACAAGCACTAGCTTAATTAGGGAAGAGGCCCAAAATGTTTTTATGTGCTAAATGATTTGTTATGCTTTATGCTATTGTTTGATCAGATCTATGGTTCGTTGCCGACCGAATCTGGAAATTTTATGTGATCAGATTTCTAAACGTTTAATTACGGTGTTAGAACTGGCATGTAACTTTTCATAGTAATAAGGAGGAATACGCTTCTAAATATTACTCTATCTATATTTTCATCACGATACACCGAATGCCTGCTTTGGTGTGCAGAACATCCTGGTGAAGACTTGTAGTGAATTGAGTGAATGGAGGAAATGAGAAGGCTTACGATACTGAATGGTACCTATCAAAAGATATCGTAAGAGTGATATCATGCCTTTAGAATGCATCTAATAAATAATAAGTCCAGTACGGGTGAAGTACATGTTCGATTAGCAGAAAGAGAAATTTTTGGTATAGTCCATGAAGTTATCCCATCATCTGACGTTTCCATCACCAACCGAGTGAAGCAGAATTGATGATTGAATATACGCATGGAAGAAGTCCTAGTAGAGTCTAGGGAAAATTATATGATTTTTTGGACACATTTGTATGTGTTAAAATTTTTTATGTGATAATGACTTGGAGAACTGCGAGACAATACTTGGGACGAGTATGAGTAGGTGTGAAAGGTAGTAAATGCCTATACTACCGGAAGCACATGACTCACGCTTGGATCAGGTAAAGTCACAAGGTTACCAAGAAGCTAGTAATTGATACCGTTTTATTCAAATATGTCGTTACCATTGTTTCAGTAATGACTAAGAAGATGATTGTTATTCCGATCCTAGTGGTCATATAGAATTGAGTCTGACTATGATGAGTATGTTACGTGGTTCAGAGAACCAAGTTTGATGTAACATCTGACTTAAGCCGGAAGATTGAAATAAAAGATAATCAAAGTGATCGGTAGAGGTATCGCGATAGTTGCTTGTAGCTAAAAATTCTACCCTTTTAGATGTGATTAGAACATGAAGGAAGGTATAGTCTGTTATGGAATTTAACTCTAAAAGACCTGAGTCCAAGAATTGCATCATATAATGAGAGGTCATTAGAACATGATCCATCGGTCTATTATGATAATCGAAGGAAGAACCTTATCTCAAGTTTGTTAAAGGAGTCTCTAATAAATATTAAGATCGTGACATGAAGATCATGATTGGAAGTCCAACATGAGATAGAGAGTGGGTCTAAGATCGGGCACCGCATGCAGTCAGGAAGTGTTAGAGTTAGATACTCGTTCGAAGAAACATCAAAGTTATGGTTATTACTTAGGATGAAGAGATAACATATGGAGTCATCATGTGAGCCTGTTCGTTGATGATTTCGGGACGTAATCATCCTAAAGGGGGAGATAATTGTAACGCCCGTAGATCCAGGCTAGTCAATTTAGAGATAATAGGGGTTGAAAATGATTTTTCTACAAAAGATTATTTAGAATAAATAATCTTAACAAAGTTTTAGAATATGTCTCAAGGGTTCCATACATATAAAGAACGTTGAAATTCGAGTTATAACGAAAAAGTTATGGTCCGTCGAAGTTTTACAGCAAAACCGGCATGACACTAGGAGACATAAATAGTGAATTTTTGATAAATGAATTTTTAGCCTTAGTGATCTAAAAAAAAGTTGTAGTATACGCTAAACCGAGAGCGTCCATAAAAAGAACGTCCAAATCTGACTTCGTATGAGGAAGTTATGAAATTTCTAAGATTTGACATAGTAGTGCACGACCTGAAACTCGAATTTTAGATCGAGCGGTGTTTGGCCTACATGACCTAAATGAGAGTTGAAGATCTCATTAATAAGAACTCAATGGTAAAAAGACAGACGAAAACAGATGTCGGATGAAGAAGTTATGAATTTTTAACGGACTATTCCTGTCCCTGCCTGTTAAAAATATAACTTTAAAAATAAAGTCAAAATTAGCCAACACAGTCTAAAGGAAAGTTGTAGAGTATGGTCCCACCTACGTGTGGATATAAATAATGTCAAAAACAAAGCTCGTATGCGAAACTTACAGATTTTAGAAGATAATTAGTTTGTGGGGTAATCTACGAGTGACACGTAGCGCAATCTGGGCCACACCTTCTTTCCCACGACTTGGAAAAAGATGACGACATGTGGCAACGAACGCGCTGCGTTTGCACCGAACTCATCCTATAAATAGAGGCGCAAATCTCCCATTTTATTCACAACTCTCTACTTCTTTTCTCCCAAATACCCCAAAACCTTCAAGGTTTTTCCCTAGAACCTCCAAGGTGTTAGAAACAAGTCCCGGAGCGTCGGAAATCTCCGAGAAGAACAACTTTCAGCTCAAAAACTCTGCTTCGGTGAAGCCCGATTTTCGAGAAAACCCCGCTGTAAGTGAGCTACGCCTATGCTATTTTTAA